TGTATGGGTCTGCATGTAAGTAGTAAAGAAGTATAGCCTCGAAAATATTGTGTCTTCCTTATATGAATTCTTTTGAGACAGTCATAGTTAATTATTTGTGAGTATGTATGTATATAAGCATCAAACCTGCATTATACAGAACATGAATATTCATTAACAAGCCTGCAAACTTTGCTGGTATTTGCATAAATGTTAATGATGTATGAGTGTTTGTGCTGCCTGTGTCTCAGGAGCTATGGGAACCGAGCATTCGTCCATCTCTTATTCACTCTATAGAATCCTCTTTGAGCACTGATATCTCTGTCAACCCCCAACCCAATGCTTTCACTGGGCTCACAATGTCATGAGCTGCTCTGAAGGATACGGCTTATTTGTCTTTCTATCATTTGGTCAGTGCTGTTGGTGTTAAAGGAATGTGTAGGCATTTCCATTTCCCTGCTGAATAAAAAAAAAACATCATGTCTTTGTAAAAACATACAGAACCGAAGAAGAATGAAAGATGCAGATTCTGCTCTCTAAATTACCCTGAACGATAGTAAATGTTCTTTGAGGCTGCGCCTCATTCTTTTCCATCTTATCATCAAAACGGATAAAAAGACCTTCAGTATGTGTGGTAAAAACAATAGATAATGCAGTGTAGTGTGATCTTACATGGTATTTGTAGTGCAGTTTCTCAGAGCGCATGTTAATCTTTCATTTTTATGGATCTTCACATACCTCGCTGCCAGAGAGATGCTCATCTACTATTTGCTAACAAAAGCAGAAGCAAAGTCTGACACAATTTCCGTGGCTCCTGAGGTCTGAACCCCTCAGAGGTTGTCGGGTCACCGGGGTCACCGAAAAGTCTAATCTGTTGTCTTTGTCCTGAGAAATGTACAGGCTTTTTATGTACGTGCACAGCGATGGTGACCAGTGTGTGGTCCGAAACATCACTCTTTTTCACTATATCACCAAATCACATGTGTCTGCAACAATTCTTTCATCCCCTCTCTTGTTTTGGTCTCGGTATTTTGTAAAAAGCTACCCTTGAGGGCCGTAATGGCTGTTTTTCATTTCCCAAAGCCTAATGACCATAATTCACTGCATTGCCTATGCTGGATTAATGCATAAATGTGGAGGGTAGAAAATAGCCTTTCACCTCTTCCTGTGCCGTTCTTTATTCATGCCAATCCCTATCTTTGCTTTATAAATTATGAATCATGCCCAATTATGACCGCAGGCCCATTTCACTGATGGCCATTTCACTGGTTCTCCTTCCACTTAATCTATGCTTTTTACACTCACACAGGCCATTAGTGTTTTAATTTCCCAGACCTGGTGGCTAAGTCTGGGTTGCAGCGCTCCAAGAGTAACTTCTACGAGCCGTCTAAATGACCTTCCCTCAGTTAACCCATCCCGCACAGGCTCCCTCCTGCATAATAGATAAAGCTAAGACTTGGGAGGACAGGGAGGGCATGGGACACAAGCCAATATTACCTGTGAATTAATTTTTAATGAGGTAAACAGGTCTGTCCGGGTCATGAGTGTGACTGTGAGTTGTGAGTCCTGTCTCATCATTGCTCCCTTCTCCTCTGACACTTTACCCAGCCGCAGGCAGGGCTTCTCCTTTCATAATTAGATCTCACTTGTGCTGATAGAAAGTGCCCTGCTAGCCGTCAAGTCCTCGCTCTTTCTGCGAATGGACTGCCACCAATTACGTGGGTAAATGAACTCAATGCGAGCTGTGCTCTCAGCAACCTTTTCTTTAATTTGTAGAGCCCGTACCTCTGGGTAGATTTGGTTATAGCCAGCAAATGTGGAGTAATGTGGAAAAATATGTACCGAGACACTTGTAAGAAAAACGATATGTTTAGAATTATATGAAAGTATAGTGCAACTCCCTGTTGCTTTGTGTTTAAGCAATGGTTGAAAAAGCTCTTTTAAAAGCTGTAAGCAACAGACCAGCATTGGGAGCTACATTTTTCTGATGTTTGGCATTAGTTTCGTTGTTTTTAAACCAATACTGTTTTATTCCAGTAACAAATTTCTCTTTCCAACAAGTAGCAAAGTAACAAGACCAAATTGTTTCTCATGGCATATTGTTTGCATATACAGGTTCACTGCCAAGTGAGCTGAGATAACCAAAAATGCTTCTCCCTGTTTAGTGTTGGAATGTCAAAAATTAATAATTGTTAATCAGTTAGGATAGTTATGTCAGTACTTTTAAATGAACTGATAAAAATAAAATCAACGATTCAGTTATTTGAGTCCCTTATTTTGGATCCTGAAATATTTTGTTAAATGCTGCCATTAATTTTTTAAGTGTCAATTAATTCGCTGAAGTTTGATGCTGATTATTCATTCAAAGACTTTTTTTGTGTGTCAGAAAAACAGCTCTGATCAGATTGTAAATTAGATATGAATCAGATATGAATATATTTACACTCCAATAACTGACTTCTTAAAGCTAGTGTTGAAACATTTTTTGTTTTGCTGGTTGAAAGTTTAATTCCATCCTGATAGTAATCAATAATTAAAGGGGTTCAAATATAAAATATATATATATCTTCTGTGGAAGGCTCATAAAATGGACCGTAAAAAGTTTGTCCAATTATTGCATCCAATGTTTAATGAGTCTGTCAACCTGTGTTTTTGCATACCTCTGCGCAGCCAATAGCGAGAGTTTGGGGCGTGGCTACTGTAGCTGCGCCAGAGATTGTTTAGCTGGTGTGGAAAAAGAGACTTTACAGAAGTGCAAGCCAAAATTTGAAGACTTGAAGACAATGAAAGACATGAAAGGGGCGTTTGCAAAGGTTGTTTATTTTTGTAGTTCCACTAAGTGACACTAGGAATGCAGAAACTGCATACACCAGCGTTAAAGTGTTTTAATATTTTCACTTCTTTTCCTTAGTAATATATCTAAAAATCCTTAAAATAAAATAAATTTACCAAGCAACACTGCTTTTTTAGCTTAAATAAATATAAGCCCTTTATAGCTTTAATGTTCTTTTGTTAGTTGCTTGTAGTATAGCTAACTATAGCTATTATAAAAAATATAATAGTTCATTGTATATGTGCATGATGAGGAGGTCTATGTCTATGCAGTATGTATGTTCATGCTGTTGCTGCTGTTTTAGTGAGCTGCATGCAGGTAATTTGACTGTAGTTTGAATTATGAGTAGTTACTTCAATTTCAAAGTAGATTTCCCAACAAGCAGACACCAGTGTTTGCCTGTTTTTCCCCTCTGACTCAGAGGATCTAAATGTGCCTCTTTTTAAACACTGCAATGAGTCTAAACATCTTCTCACAAGCATGTCTGGTTACGGCTAGAAGAAATTGGCTGTTTGGGAAACGATGCGCACATCGTTGTCATCTGGGAAATCAGTTGGTGGATGCATTTTCCCGTGGATGTCAACAGCACAGGGACGCCTGACGAACCTGGAGGGCTCCCGCTCCCACTGCTATTCCCTGCGAGAAGCGCTGTGATTCAGTGAAGGAAAGAGTGTGAGAGAAAGGTGAGAGTACGAACAGATGGAGAGGGGTTATAGTGTTCTCAGGAAGATAGAGACCCTGAGAAAAAAGATGTGTACACATACACACACTCACTCACTGATGTTCATGCACTTCAATTGTGTTATGTTCTGTGCATATCAGCAGACATAAATAGATAGACATACTGACTGGATATATGACATTATTGTGGGCGTTATATTAATGCACTTTCATAAAGTCTCTTATAAAGGATTGGGACTTGACATCTCACTCTGGCTGCTTTTCCATTCACCACCCACCACATATATACTGTACATTTGCAGAAAAACACAAACATGCACACCATTACCAAGAGCATCTCTCTGTGGAGTTCACCTTGGGAAATATCCTATGCCTGTTCATCTCTGTTCCTCACATTGTACTTTTCCATTCAAGGCGAACCTGAAATTGATATATTATTTTTGCCTCGTGACAGGAAAAAAACAACAACTTGGGCCTGGGCCTGATTTGAAATGTAGTGATTCTCTCTCTGAAATGAGACCTAGATTAAAATCCCATGTCGACCGGGCATATCATCACAGATTCATGATTTATTGAGCACAGGCTGATGGGGGTTGATTTTCTCTCAACAGAAAAAAGCGTTCTTGATTCCTCTCTGGGGGTTCGAGCTCCCCGTCTCCACGGGTGCCTCCGTGTTGCCCCCCAAGAGGACTAAAGGTCAGTTTTTGACACGACGAGAGACATCATCTCATCGCTAATGAAATATGTTTCTCGTTTGAAACGAGGAAGCCTGGAGTGAAAAATCTGATCCGCTGGCTCTTTGTTCTATGCTTATTTCAAGAAAAGCTGCTGTTTGCACAAAACGCCGGGTGCCGTATAGTCCGGTAATTGCAGCTGGCTTGGTTAGATGTTCTTCTACCTGCAGTGCACGTGGGGGGAGGTGACTGTGGGTAGTGCAGATGGAAAGGTGAATAACCTGACACTCTGAAAGGGAAGAGTATTTACAGAAGCGCAGGGGAGCACGAAAAGCCGGAGGTTACGGCACAGAGATGGTTCCACTTAGGAGAGGTGTTTAAGGTTTAAAAAAGGGAGAACCAACCTTGACAAAAACTATTCTTTTTGGGGGTTTTTTTCCATGGCGAGGTTGGATTTGGGGGATTAAAGGTTGATTATGCTGATCACCGTACATAATCCCATCATCCGCCGTGTCATGCTCGTCATCAAACACACAAGGTCCTTCCTCCTTTATCCTCCCTGTTAATTCTAATCTGAAATGTATGTTAATGCAGCTTGGGATATATCCCTTTCATCCAGTCATTGGCTGCTCCAGTTTGTAGTAAATGGTCTCTCTCTTTTTCTCTTTCTCCTCCTCTCTTCTTAGTGTGTGTGTGTGTGTGTGTGTGTGAGTTTGCGACTCAGCCTTGAGGCATCCCGTTTCAGCTCCTCAGCTTCCAGTCAGAGGGAGAAAGGGAAGGGGGATGCATATAAGAGAGTGGTAGGTGGGAGTGGGGTCTGACCGCAAAGTGTCTACTGTTTAAAAGAAAGGGACTTCTCCCTCCCTCTCTCTCTCTCTTTCACTCATTCCCTCTCAGCATCAGCAGACATACACTGGCTGGATGGAGCACTCTCACTGAGAGCAGAGAGACAGCAGGGAATGACAGGACTGTCATCTGTCTAAAGAAAATTAAAAAGCACTTCAAGAGTTCCTGATGTTTTTAACCTTTCGTTTGGCAACACATCGCAGTTCCCTAGACGGAGGCACGTCTCTGAGCCTGTAGAGGAGGATTGGTCTCACTAAGGTAAGCTGTGATGCTTCAAGTCACTTCCATCTACCTGTTAGTGTGACAGATTTGCATGTTAAATGACTCTGTGCTCTTCATGAGTGTTATTAAATGCTAAATCTGAATTATGGTTTAAAGGATGTTGAGCCACGTTGTAATACTGTTGTATAACAAGAGTCATATTGTACACTGTGCAAAAATTTTATCTTTAGGTGTACAACAGTTTGTCACTGAGGCAGTACCCTTAAAAGGACAACTTATTAATATTAGTACCTTAGAGTAGTAATGCACCTTTTAGGGGTAAATGTAGCACAAAGATGTACCTTTAAAGGTACTGCCCCATTGACAAGCTATTGTACCCCTAAATGTACAGTTTTTGCACATGTTTTCTGACAGTGTAATTGTTAGCTAGGGACTTCTAAGGCTGATGCATTGACTTGCTTTAGGCTGCTCATTATGGTTTATAGGGGAAGTGATCCACATTTGTTTTAAGCTCAGCAATTATTCCAGCTCCACTTGAGGGGGGAATACAGTAGCGTGTGCTCTGAGCGCTGATAGTTTGGCGTAACTCTACACGTGGTGGGCTTGTCTGCAGCTGTGGGTCAGCCGGTGTCCGTTACCTGGCTGACGGTGTTATCCCTTTCCAGGATCTCTGTCCTCTCTCCAGCCAGGGAGAGCAGCAGCTGGTTTGTGTTAGCACTTCTCTCTTTAGTCTGCTGCTCCTCGTGTAGCTCCGCTGTCAGCTGCCAGTTCTTTTCTCTCGCCTCAGCCGTGGTGGGGGGTGGGGGGTGGAGGGGGTTGAACGGTTCTCGGATCAGTGCGCTGTCCTTACTGATGGGTTGTATCCGTTTAGGAGAATGGAGAAACTGAGGTGATGAGAAGATGTGCGTGTGTGGCGCTGGGGGAGGGGTCTAGGCTGGGAAACGCAGGGGCTGAGAGATGCCTTATAAGTGCGTATAGTGAACAAGGTGGGGGTCAATGACAGAGACCCCCTGGATCCAAGGGTCCTAAATGGGAGGGAGGTTCTTCTGGGAATGAAGGAAACTTAGTCGTTAGCATTGAGGGGCAAAACTCATGACTGCATAAAGGATTCTTGGTTAAGTTTTCTTCGCTTTAAGTTCTTTTTTGAGAAAAAGAAATGTGATGTGACTGTTTTCAGAATACAACTGAACGCATTAAACATTCCTATTTCATACTAGCCCTAATATTTGATCTGTTTTGTTGTGTGAGGTCAATGCCTCCTGAGTTGTTCAAATCTCCTCAGCGCTCTATGCCATCATTATCTTGAAGACATTAGAAGTGCCAACCACACATGGTTGTTGCCTAGACGGAGTGTTTAAATGTTTTATGATGCTATGTGCAGTGTATTCATTGACAGTGCCACTCAGAACAAAGCTGAGTGGGAAACTAGCCTTTGTTTGAACAGCTGTCATCTCTGCTCCTGGCCTGGCAATGCACTTGGAGCGGCTATTGGACCCTCTGTGTTCTCCTGTGGTTGTCTGTCTGTCAGTCTGTCTGTCTGTCTGTCTATCTTTCCATCTCTGTATCAATTTGTTTGTCTATTATAGGTCTGTCTATCAATTAAATATTGTAATTTAATTAATTACATGAAATGCTGATTAATTAGTCACAAATTAACTAATCACAATTAATCACATATATCAATATTTTGCCAAGGAAAGCAACCAAATTAAGATTATTAAAATTCATTAAGTTATTTTGGCAGACAAATAAAGATAAATAAAATGAACAAAGTTACTCAATGTTTTTATGATGGTTTGTCAAGTTGAACTTTTAAAAAGTCTTTTTTCATTCTTTTTTTCAGTCTGTCTGACTGTCTGTCGGTCTCTTTGAAAATGCTCTGTAAAGAAGGATTATTTTCTTCCACACTCAAAATTAGCCACAGAGGCATTCAGAATGATTTGTCGGCATCAGTGAACAAAGATTTCATCAGTAGACTTCAGTGTGTTAAAGTGTCACAGCCCCAGAAGGTTTTAATGGCTGTCTCATGCTAATGTAACATGGCTAGGAAACCATGAGCTCAAAGCACAGACAGTGTCCCTATCGATGGCAGCCAAGAGATGAGCCCACGTGTCTTCCTCAGAAGTGAGGAACTCTGGTTAGTTGTCAGTGACCCTGCCTGCTAGAATGCATTCATCACAACAAACCTGGGTAGGTAAGGTTTTAAGTTAGCAGAAGAGTTTTGAATGTTGTAAAAGAGAATCAGAGTATCTGAATTGATGACAATTCTGCCTCCAATATGAACAGTTAAAATAGATGTCTTAATCTCCCAGTCAATATTCTTGCATTTCAGTGTGGGAAAACAGATTTTTCTTTCCAGAAGGAGGAAAAACATTCAATAGGGTCAATAAGTTGAAAGAGCTTGTTGCTCAGTCTCAGAAGATCATACTGTGATGAAGCTAATTACTATAGGTATGTAGTGTAAGTAATTGGATCTGGCCGCATGCAATTTATAGGTATTTTTTCAGAGAATGCTAAATCACACTTGATCATGGCTTATCTTCAACAAGTCAAAAAGAGGAAAAACTAAATTTCTTGGCGTTGGAGAAAAAGCAATTTCCTGTTACACACAAACAAAAAACATACCAGCTTTTATTATTTTTCTAGAACAGGAAAGAATGATCAATAGCTTTCCATTTTGGGAAGGGATTGCTTTGTGCCTATGAAAAAATGACCTCCAAGTTCAAATAAGTCTTTTTACTCTGTAGCAAATACGAGATAAAATACGGTCTTTTATTCTTTGCCGTTCCTGCCAGACCACAATATATCCTTTAGAAAACAAAAAAATTGTAAAACAAATTTACCTTTCTAAGACCAATATGCGAGGCACTGTCTGCATGGTGCAAAAATAGTGTTTGAACTTTGTTGCAACAAACAGGAGTCAGAATTAGCAGGAGTTTGTGCTTTTAAGGTCTGAACATATGAGGCTGCTTTTCTGGCTGTAACAGAGGTTAAGCTAATAAACACGGGGTCACCAGTGCTGAAAATGTAAAATGAGACGGCAAGTAACAAATGTTCCTCCTTCATTCCTTCCATCTGGACTTTAAGAGAAAGCACACATGGAAGCTGAAGTCAGGAATTATTCAGCTTCATTCCCAGTAGACTTCTCTAGTGTCTCTGGTCTCAGATGGTGACTGACATGTCCTAAACTTTCCATTTCTTCTTAATCAGCATGATGGAGTTCACCTTTGGCATCCTAGCTCTATCGTGTCCGCTTTGAATGCCTCTCTGGTGAAAGTGCAGCAATGTCAGCGAACCACAGGTCCATTCAGAGCAGTGCAAACACCTCTATCTCTGCCCATACACCAGCCCGGCTTATCGCTCACTTACACACACACACCTCCTATCGGTGCAATCAGATCTGCGAGCATCATTAGAGCTCTGTAAATGGGGCTCGACTGTCATGAAACCCAGCTTTTTCATTGTGAAAACAACCTGCATTGCCTTTCACTTATCAGTCTGCATGTAATCTTATGCCTCTACTAGATAAAAAATAGCCCACATGAATGGAATGATCAGTAATAAAAACAGAACATTTCAGCATGCCGGTTTCGGTTTAAAATTGAATTAAAGAAAAAATACCTTTAAATTCTGGCAATGAAATCAGATGCAAGATTAATAATTACTTTATCTTATTATTATGAGAATGGCATTGCTGGAAATATAATACACAGTGGCGTATGTTTTTAGGTTTTGGTTTCACACTTTGCTGTCAATCCACCGGTGGGTGAAATGCCATGAGAATGTGTTGGGTGAGAGATCACTTTATGTGGCATTTGAGAGCCCTTTAAGCTCACATTGCACATACAGTGGTGAGGCAGCACGTCTGCGTGTTTATGATTGCCAGACATATTCATTTGTTTGAATCTGCTCAGTGAACCCACTGCAAGATATGACTTACTTCCTTTTGAAGCACAGACAAGCCAAGGAAAATAGAGTAGCGAGGCATAGACAATCATCAGCTCGTTTGAGGCCAGTGGACAGTCACAATGCACATTCTGCATTCACATCACAGCTTAAAAGTAACAGGATGTCAGACAGATGAAAAATATCAGTAAGAAAGAAGAAGAACTGCAGAACTATAGAAAGAAAGAACAGAATAAAATGGAAGGTCTAATGGTCAACTGAGCTACTCCTCCTAAATGAGCATTGCTCAGGAAGGCGATGACTTACAAATCCATTTATGAAACAATAACAGTGGCTATATGCCTTGCCATCGATCTGAGAGCACACACCATTGAGCTGTTCTGGAAATCCATCTCTGTGTTGGATGATTATGAGCTGCTTCATGGTGCTGGTTTCAGCAGACCTCTGTCTGATTATGACCTTGGAAAACCATGCCATCGATAAGCATCCACTTCTCAATGACACCATACTCATATTTGTAATGTTTTTAATAAGGATTTATCAGCATTTTTTGGGTCTTCGCCACAGATCAGACACCTTTCAGCAGGTTTACTGCTTTGCTGACTGGATTAAGAATTATTTACTCAATTTCATACATATTGATTTTTAATGAAGTTTGACCTGGAGGAATGATACGATGATAGGATGTACCTCTGGGAGAAATATTTTTTTCATCATTGACTCCTTCCCAGTATTAAACAACCTGTCAGGGCATTTTATTACATCTATTAAGGTGAATAGAGTCTAGACAATACCAATTCATGCACTACTGCGAGCGACCCATATTAAGGCTGCGTCCCAGTGAAGGCAAGTGCTTTCTGTCATGGGTGACCTACAAAACTGAGTCTGCTTGATGATTTCATAGGAATAAACTGTGGAAGAGTTGTGCTTCCCCTCTGTTCAACAGACTGTAGATGAATGTCATCTCTAATCATTGAATATGAAACAATGAACTGTTAATGCAACCACAGCATTTTTTACAGTTCAATAACCGGCTATTTAACAGATAATTTACCACCTCATCAGTCCTCTAAAGTCAGGAAGAAAAGCCTAGATTTGATTTTATGAACTGTTAATGCAACCACAGCATTTTTTACAGTTCAATAACCAGCTATTTAACAGATAATTTACCACCTCATCAGTCCTCTAAAGTCAGGAAGAAAAGCCTAGATTTGATTTGATTTTATTTCAAACACTTCAACAGTTGTCATCTCAATAAAATGTGTTACTAATTCCCCTCCACTTTACAATAATAATAGGTTTTGTAGTTTGTGATCTGGTTTTTGGCATATTCCTTTTATATTTTATGTCTTTGTAGTATGCATCAGATCACAGCTAATTATGCCATGGTCCCAAACCGCTAACTTGCTAATTGCTCAATTATGTGAGGAGCTGCAAACTTCTAATTTAACAAATAGCAAGTAAGCTAATTTGTTTGTGGCACATTGGTGTGGTGGAAGAATCGTTTCAACTGTCACTATAATTTATGACTTACAAAAGTATTCATCTGGTCTCTGTGTGAGGTATTCTGCCTTTCAAATGCTCTAGTCAGCATTCAGCACTTAACACAACGCAGGACCAATTTAGATCACTGGCACTAAATATGTGTGCCAGCAGGTTCACCCCCCATTGAAATTCCGCTCACATTAGACACACGGAAGCCAACTGGCCCAGCCAGAGTCTGAGAAAGTAACAATGTGTAAAAACTAGACCTGGCATGAGAAAGCAGCAGTCACTTTGTGTCTGGTTTATCTGAAAGTGCCAGTAAGCAGCAGCATTAGCATACTGTTCCGAGCTCAGCACTGTATTGATGGAGCTCTAATAAAAGAGACTGGCTTTGTCTATTTCTCGCTGTTGAAAATGCAAAGAAAATGAAGAAATCTTTTCCAATCTAATGTTAATAACTGCTAATTCTTTCATAGGCTAGCATATCCATCATTGCTGCCATGAAGCCAAGTTGTCCTCATTATATTTCATTTTTCACATTTACAGTCCACCTTCGCCAGGGGTTAAGGGCAAATGCTCACACAAAGACCAGCTTGGTCTTTCAAATTCATTTTCTTTCTTCGATTTTTGTGGCGACAAGCCAGGTTTCAAAGTGAAAAAGCCAGCTACCCATCCAGAACTAAAACCGCAAAGCGACTCAAAGCAATTTTCTGCCTATTTTGCTGATTTAATCCTAGGGTTTAGATGTGAGGAACAAGAAGCTGAGTAGGTCCCCTTCGCCCCCGAGGGTCCAGATCGGGAGTCTCCCATCATCAAGCCCCCTTTAAGCGCTCCATCACAGAAGCGCTCATCCCTGTCTGTCTAATCACGGATGGGCGGCAGCAGCGTGGGATCCCTCTCGCTGGAGCTCATCTGTCAGTCCTGTTAATCACATGTCAAAGCGAGCTCTCCACTTACTAAACAGATCCTGAAAAGATATTACCTGCTATTGACCTTGCAAGCTGTGGCTTTGAGTCAGCCCCCTGCAGCCGTGACAAAATTATGATCTGTGTAACCACTTTGTATTGCTCTTTTGCTACTGAAGGACTGGAGGGTTTGCCTTAAAGTATAATTCACCAAAAAATTAAAGAAAATTCTGTCATCATTTAGATGCCCTCACATCTTTCCAAACCTGTATGACATTCTTTCTTCTGTGGAGCACAAAGAAGATATTTTGCAAGATATTTTATTTATTTATTATTATTTTTTAATTTTTATTATTATTATTATTTTTTGTGTGTGTCTGCAGTGAATGGGGTCCAGTCAGTGTTGTCATTGACCACACTGACTTTCATTAAATGCACAAAAGCATTCTTAAAAATATTTTCGAAATGATTAAAGAATTGTAAATTTTGAGTGATCTCTGTTATGTCCAATTCAGCATTGTAAAATATAAAGACTCTTTTAAAAAATCTAATTAAAATAATAAATGTTAAGGGGTTAAATGTGTTTGAATGGCTAGGCAAGGTGCAGGCTGAAAAATGCACACATAAATGTACTTAATTTGACATAAATATTGGGTATTTTATGGTATTGAAAAGTCAGTGTGTCAGCACTTTGAGAAGGTGGTTATTTCCATCTTAAATGGGTCCCATTTGGTTTTCATAACATTCAGGAAAACAGCTATATGGAAAACTAAATCTACAATCCTGTAGTTGCCAAGTATGTGACCATATGACATGCGCGTCAGGACTCTTTAAACACAGACATCCTCAATCTCCCTGTTACACCCAATAATGCAGCACAGTAACATGCTTGAAAAGGTATTACAGGCATTTTATTTTAATTAAATTTGTAACAGACCATTGCACTTGGTGAGGTGACAAGCCTCCCGAGCCCTGCAAAAACTATACTTCTAACTTTTTAATGAGGAAAGTGTTGTGTTTTAATGCATAACTCTGCTGCTGTCTGGAGAATGGTCAAAGAATGCTAACTTTTATGAGAAGCGTGAACTCTGAACACCTACGCTAGCGGAAGCGCTGCAGATGGTCTCCTCTGCACGAGTATTAATCTGTCAGCATGGGCTGTAGGCAGAGCATCAGAGAGGAGAGTACACTCCTCAGATTCAGGTGTTGCCTGCTGTGTGTCATGGCAGCCTGTCATAGGAAACACTGCTGGAGCCCTCGCTCCTGAGCTAAAGTTTGCCTTGCTTTCATTGGCCAGAGCTGATCTTTGTGGAAACCAAGGCAACTATAACCTGAGTTGTACTTAGTCTATCCTGCAGTGTTGCTGACTGGCATGTATGCTTAATTGTGTGTTGTTTTTTTATTGTTTTTTGGCTGGAAATTTTATTCTGAATATGAACACTCCCTAGTGGGATATGGTTTGCTTTAGTTATAATTTTAGAATATAATTAATTCTGGTTGGAAAGGAAACACGAGTCGAGGATTAAAACATTTCCTTTTCGTTTTTCTTATGTCTGTTAGCATGATTTGCTATGCAAAGTCTATGATACAAATACACTACATACCTTAGATTTTTTTCATTCATATAAATGACTTATTTTCATATTATTTTATTTTTAATATTGGTTTAAAATGTATATTTAAGATGCAATGATTTATTTAAATTAACATTCATTTTGTCTGTTGTTTTTAATTGTGCTTAAGAAATATTGCTGAAGCATTATAATTATCTGTAAATGTTTTTAAGATTAATTTAATGACTGATTTTTTTCATTATTTATGTAATGCATGTTTCATTTTCCATTTTGTAAGTACAATTTGAGACTGGATTCACACTGGACATGCATTAGAATGAAATGTGTAAAAGCAATCTGAGTGACTGTTCTAATTCCATTTTACAGGATCAAACCCACATCTCCAGTATCTTAAAACAGTTTGAACAATCACACAAGTAAGAAGAGTCAGGGAGCAAATCATCATGGGGGTGCGAGGCCTGCTACTGGCCTGTGTGGCAGTAGCCTTGTTAGTTCATCTCTCTAGTGCTGGCCTGGTGAAAAGAGTAATTAGACACAGAAGAGAATCACTGTCACCGACCACTGAGAACTTGACCCTCCCAAGTCCTGATCAGCCTGTGGTTTTTAACCATGTATACAACATCAACGTTCCCTCTGGATCCCTGTGCTCTGTGGACTTGGATTCACCTGGAACAACACCAGTGAAGCCAAAACCGGCCAATCTGCAGTCTGACCAACACATAGAACACACCATGGATGGAGAGAATCAGATTGTTTTTACACATAGGATTAATATTCCTAAGCAAGCTTGCGGTTGTGATAACCACATGCCTGACCTGAAGGATCTTCTGAACAGGCTGGAAATGCTGGAGGCAGAGGTATCCAGTCTAAGAGAGCAGTGCACCAGTGGAACAGGCTGCTGTAGTGCTCAGGTTACAGGTAAGGCCAAATATTACATAGATACTTTGGTAGTCCATTATAGGAGGCTGAGCCTCATTACAAATGTATTTAAATAAACAAAACAATGCTAAGTTGTGGAAATGGAATCTCTGACCCCGAAATGGAAATTCTTTACTCATCCTCATGTTGTTCCAAACCTGCATACATTTCATTCTTATGTAAAACACAAGAAGATATTTTAAAGAATATAGTTAACCAAACATTTGTGTCTTTGACTTCCATTGTATCATGGACAAATGTAAATAATAAAATAAAATAAACACTGAGACATTTTTCAAAATATCGTCTTTAAAAGAAAGAAAGTAAACAGTTTTGGAACAAAGTGAGGGTTGACAAAATTTAAATTTTTGGAACTATCCCTTTAACCTTTGTTTTTATCCACTAATACGCATAACGCACAGACACATACAATGGAAAATATTTTTATTTTTGCATGTGGTAGACCAGTGTTCAATCACTACATGAAGGTTAGAAGAGGCTGAAAGCATAAAGGGCTCTGCTCAATACTAAATTGACCAATCAGAATGAATATCTAAATAACAAAGCTATTTGCTTCCATCTAAAATGTGGCAGAAAGGAGCAGGCTAAATAAAATTGGCCCCCCTCTGCATATATATGTAGACATATACATAACCAGTCATTGTCAGATGTAACCATCCAAGCCAATTGGCTTTTAGTATCACATTTGTGCTTGCATAATCAAACCTGCTTGTGGTTAGGACAAGATGTCACTAAATGATCACTAAATATTAACTCAAACCTGCCGCAATCTTTCATTGGTTCAAACAATATTAAGTTACATATCAGCCATCCCCAAAATTCCCTGTCTGACAGTTATTGCATTGATGAAGATATTTTGATTAATTTCATCCTCCCAAGTGACTCATTACTTAGCTTTTCACCATGATCTCGAAACAAGCCTGTCAAAATTGTTTTTGCTTCTTATTTAGAAGCCGTATCATTCATATAAAAAAAAAAAAAAAAAAGATCTGAATTTTGTAGTGAATCATGAATATGTAGCACAACCAGTGTGCTACAATTGACTGTAAAGACTGGCTCTTTTAATGGTTCATTTTAGTAAATCAAACACATACAGCTTTCAGCTAACTTTGACACAAATCAATGTAGTTTTCATGGACTGTTTATATGACAATGTAGTTAAAAACACACATTATGTGTTTTGTCTGTAGTATTGTACAAATCTAAACGAATTGTTACCACATTTTTTGTTTGTGTCGTATTTTCTAGCAATGCTCATGTCAAATGGCTGTTATTGGATTGCATTTATTTACCCACATCTTGAAAAAAAAATCTTATATTTTTTATTATTGAAATTGCCAAGAAAATGTCTGCTTTTTAGAATTTATTCTTTAAAAGTACTAAAATAAATGTTAATGGAACCATTAAGGAATCGTTAAATTCTGTACAAGTCCCATTCCTGTCTAAACCAGCATGAAAGTGTTTCTCAGCATAAGCCAAAAATGACTAAAAACCTCTTTAGCAGGTGAAGTCACAACCAAACCCTACTGCAGTGGCCGTGGAAACTACAGCACTGAGACCTGCAGCTGTGTGTGTGAGCCCGGTTGGAAGGGCGTCAACTGCTCCGAGCCAGAATGTCCCAACTTTTGCCAGGATCAAGGCCGCTGTGAAGATGGCAAGTGCATCTGCTTCGAGGGCTTCGGCGGTGAGGACTGCAGCATCGAGCTGTGCCCTGTGGATTGCAGTGAGAATGGAGAGTGCATCGACGGGGCTTGCATCTGTGCTGAGGGCTTCATCGGTGAGGACTGCAGTTTGACTAACTGCCTAAACAACTGCCTCGGCAGGGGGCGCTGTGTGGATGACGAATGTGTATGTGACGAGCCTTGGACGGGCTTTGACTGCTCCGAGCTCATCTGTCCCAACGACTGCTATGACCGTGGCCGCTGTGACAATGGAACCTGCTATTGTGAAGAGGGCTTTACTGGGGAGGACTGTGGGGAGCTTACCTGCCCCAAAAACTGCAATCACCGTGGCAGGTGCGTCAATGGACAATGCGTCTGCAACATTGGCTACAGCGGAGACGACTGCTCCAAGCTAACCTGCCTCAATAACTGCAATCAGAGAGGGCACTGCTTCAATGGGAAGTGCATATGTGATCCTGGGTTTGAGGGTGAGGACTGCAACATTCTTTCCTGCCCTGACAACTGCAATGACAGGGGACAGTGCGTCAACGGGGAGTGTATTTGTGATGATGGATATGAAGGTGACGACTGCTCTGAGCTTTCCTGCCCCAATAACTGCCACGATCGTGGCCGATGCGTCAACGGGAAGTGCATTTGCAAAGTTGGCTTTGCTGGAGAAGACTGCAGCATCAAGACCTGTCCCCATGACTGCCATGGACGCGGAGAGTGTGTGGACGGCAAATGCATTTGCCATGATGGCTTTGCTGGAGAACACTGTGGCATCAAGACCTGTCCCCATCACTGCCATGGACATGGGCAGTGTGTGGACGGCAAGTGCATTTGCCACCATGGCTTTGCTGGAGAAGATTGCAGCATCAAAACCTGTCCCAGTCACTGCCATGGACATGGACAATGTGTGGACGGCAAGTGCATTTGCCATGATGGTTTTGCTGGAGAAGATTGCAGCATCAAAACCTGTCCCAATGACTGTCATGAGCGTGGAAAGTGTGTGGATGGCAAGTGTGTTTGCCATGATGGTTTTGCTGGAGAAGATTGCAGCATCAAAACCTGTCCCAATGACTGTCATGAGCGTGGAAAATGTGTGGATGGCAAGTGTGTTTGCCATGATGGTTTTGCTGGAGAAGATTGCAGCATCAAAACCTGTCCCAATGACTGTCATGAGCGTGGAAAGTGTGTGGATGGCAAGTGTGTTTGCCATGATGGTTTTGCTGGAGAAGATTGCAGCATCAAAACCTGTCCCAATGACTGTCATGAGCGTGGAAAGTGTGTGGATGGCAAGTGTGTTTGCCATGATGGTTTTGCTGGAGAAGATTGCAGCATCAAAACCTGTCCCAATCGTTGCCATGGACATGGACAGTGTGTAGATGGCAAGTGTGTTTGCAATGAAGGTTTTGCTGGAGAAGACTGCAGCATCAAAACCTGTCCCAATGACTGTAATGAGCGTGGACAGTGTGTGGATGGCAAGTGCGTTTGTCATGCTGGTTTTACAGGCCATGACTGCAGCGAGTTGACTTGCCCCAATGACTGCTATAACAGAGGACTTTGTGTAAATGGCCAATGTGTGTGTAACAGCGGGTTCACTGGGGAGGACTGTGGTACAAAGACGTGTCCCAACAACTGCCTGGACCGTGGCTACTGTGAAGATGGAAAGTGTGTCTGCTCTGAGGGCTACACCGGTGAGGACTGCTCTGTTCTGACCTGCCCAGCAAACTGCAATGATCAAGGCCTATGTCTGAATGGAATGTGCATATGTGATTTAGGCTTCACTGGCGACGACTGCTCTGAAAGTAAGTCACTATATTTTACACTGGAATATGTAACACCTCATATGTATAGGTTATACTTACACTCTCTTGGCTATTATACTTTCTCAAAGGAAAAGCATCTGTTATGATTTTCATAGAACCCCCAATATGAGCTAATCGTGTAATAATCAGCTAAATAAAATGTATTATATTTTAGAAATGTATTATTATATTATATAATATTATATAATATTATATTATTTCACAATGTGAATGGAAAGTTAAATATAAGTTTTAAATATGTCAAAGTGAAAAGAAATCAGATTTACTTAATTAATTATAAATAAATCACTCATGGTGTATGTGTATTTGCACTGCAAGTGACATAAACACAACAGATAATTAATCCATTATTTTCAATTATTTGTATGACGATTTCCTGTCAGACAAAATTAATAAATGTGATATCCCTAAGATAACACCATGTCATCAAACAAAACTTCTCAAACAACTGTTTCAGACTGGTTTCCTAAATCTGCCATGGGTCAGACTAAACAATAGTCCCTCCCTAAAATCATGTTATTGGTTGAGTGTTGCTATGGCAGGAAATGTTTTGATAACACCATAGAGCCTCATTGTTTTAGGAAATCAATCTATGAATGGTTTATTTAGTTGTCTCTGCACATTCAGCTGGTGTTGAATGAAGTATTTATCTTAACATTTTTCTGTTCTTTTTTAATACAGAGGTTCTTCTAAAATTATGTTAATAATTTGACATTTTTCAATCCACAGTCTCCCCACCCAGAGACCTGACTGTGACTGAGGTCGATCCAGAAACAGTGGACGTTGCCTGGGTCAATGAGATGCTCGTGACGGAGTATCTTATCAACTATGTGCCTACGGCTCCTGGCGGTTTGGAGATGGAAATGAGAGTTTCTGGTGAAAAGAAGACAGCCACTATTAGGGAGTTGGAGCCTGGCATAGAGTACCTAATCAGTGTCTTTGCTGTACTGAACAGCAAGATGAGTGTCCCTGTCAGTGCCAGAATAGCCACACGTAAGTCACCCATCATCATGCTTAGGAAAATTATTTATTATTTTGTCCTGAGTATATTCTGCGAAACCGATTTATATCCTACAATTAGATCTTCCTGAACCTGAGGGTCTGAAATTCAAATCGGTTAGAGAGACCTCAGTGGAGGTTAAGTGGGACCCCTTGAACATCCCGTTTGATGGCTGGAACCTCATCTTCAGAAACACAGTGAGTGTCTTGGCATCCTCCGTAAATCTCTAGGGTGGCAATGGTCCAAAAGAGTATTGTTGCCCTCATATTTTCTCCTAAAAGATGTAATATAAAAGGACCGTTCTGTTTGCAAGTAATACTTTAAAATGAGAAGCTCAAAAGGCGCCCAGTGGAAAATAGCTGAGTGGTGCCACTAAGCAAAAAGCTGCTGTCGAGAAGTCTGCGGTTTTGCAAGACAAAACCCTCTAAGAAGCTCCTGGCAACAGCATGCGTGACCATGTGCCACAGAACTCTTATTGTCTCTGTAATGCTTTATTTTCTTTCTCAAGGGCTTATGCAAACTCCAAAAAACACCACCATTAGAACATGCAAACCTCCCCTACATCCTTCTTTCGAATCACAGCTTGGCAGTCTCATTCACGCATCAAGTTTAGGGATGTCAATGCCAAAATAATTCTCACTGTGAATTAAAACACTCATCCAAGTAGAATCAGCCAATAGATCAAAGTGTTTACTCTCAGGACACCCTCTCATTACCCCGTAGTTCATGGGAGCTTGACTTTGTTTTCCTGAGGTTGCTTCTTTGATGCTTTGTGGTGCTCTTTTATTAACCAGCAGAACCTTTGACCAACGATCTGTTATTAGATTTAATATATTCACCAATTCAGTTCACCAAAAAAAAAATCTGTTTTTGAATGACAGAAAGAAGAGGATGGAGAGATTTTGAACTCTCTCACCGCTCCTGAGACCACCTTTGAGCAGTCTGGTCTTGGACCTGGACAAGAGTATGAAGTCAAGCTTGAAGTCTTAAAGAACAACACTCGTGGACCCCCAGCCAGCAAGAACATTGTCACAAGTAAGCAGCTGTCGACAGCAATTAACTGGCGGCCATATCCAGTCTGCTAATTTTCAGGACTTTTTTTTTTTAAGGAGACAGGATGTCTTACCTGAAATTAGAAAGAGCAGTCAGGGGTTTATGTTAATTGGCAGTTATTTGCAGTGCAGTGAGTTGCTGAGCATTTCAAATTATTATTTTGAGTTAGAATAACTGAATATGTAAGTGTTAGTTTCTCAAGATCTTATTTTGCAAGACTTTAACACTTGAACGCTTGCCATGTGCTTTTCTACACCAGACCAGCTAAAATACTATTCTAAAGTTTGGGGTCTCTAAGATTTCTGACAGATCAATGATCAGATTGGGGAAATGGATGCTGAAAATACACCTTTGCCATAACTGGGAAAAATTAAATTTTAAAATACATTAAAATAGAAAACTAAATATTACTTTAGCGCATTTAGTTACAATCTTTATACAATTTAAGACCTTAAAATGTATATTATTCAATATACAGTATGTTTATTTGATAATTTGATAGTTTTTGGGATATATTGTTCATATGGGTCTATCACCTTCCTGTATCAGTATGAAACTAAAGTGACATTCTAAATATTACTAATATTTTTGTATTATGCCACATATTCTGAGTGACAGCTACAGAATAGAGCATTTCTAGCTCATCATCCTCTTCAACTATATATGATATGATTGTAGGATAAGGGTTTACCCTCAAATTTTATACTTCAAAAATAGCTTTTGGTTTGCTGAAAAACCTTGACCAACCACGTTGTGACATTTCCCAAAAATCCTTTCACTTTTATCACTTCCTTCTTTTAGAACGCACTAAAGATTATTTTGGAAAGAGATGTGCCTTTATAACATTGGCCTCTTATGCTGTCAGTGCAAGTAACCAGAGTGTTCCTTCATGACAGGCTGTTTTTGCTGTCTTACAAATGTCTAAAAGAAAATCTCCCAGCATGCCTCTAACGCTCCATCTACTCCATTTCTTCGACTTGTGCCACATAGGATTTGCATTAAAGGGGGACTAATTGCTCAAAGTGAGTTCTCTCCCTCACTCTCTGTGTGTGGGAGGC